GGGGGGTGGATGGCATAAGCCTAGGCCCAGAAGACCCCCAACTCCCACCCCTGCACCCACGCGCACCTTGCCAGTCATCTTCTGGATCTCGTTCCGGTAGAAGATGAGGCTCCTCCGCATGAACTCATAACTAGGGAGGAGGGTGGTGTGAGTCCACAGGGCCTGCCCCGCCCCTGCCCCAGGTCCCCAGGGCGGCAGCACCCCACCTGGCTCGACGCAGAGCAGCCATCCACTCCTGACACTGCTCCGCACTGCAGCACTCAAAGTGATACTTCCTCTCTGGGTCCTCTAGAAAGCCTGCGGAAGGAGCAGCCCCCATCTGCCCCTGCTCGCTCCCACCTCCCCCCCCACCCAGCCCTCAACTTCCTCTTGCCATTGTCCATGACTGTCCCCTTTCCAGCCCCGGCCCGCCTGGGCCCACTGCTTCCCACCAGCTGGGTGTCGGCTGAACTGTGTCCCCCGAAAGATGTACGTTCGAGTCTTAAAAAACATGAGCCATTTCCCAGGACTATGAATCTATCGGGATGTGGAATCACTGCAGGTCTAACTAGTTACAAGCAGTTAAGCTGAAGTCACGCCGCACTACGCTGAGCCTCCAACCCAACAGGACTGGTGTTCTTAAGAAAAGTGAAACCTGAACACGACCACACAAGGGAGAAGATCCCATGCAAAGGAAGGCAGAGATGGAGTGAAAACGGTCGCCAGCGACCCCCCAGAAGCCGGGAGAGAGATCATGGGGGCAGATTCTCCTTCAGAAGGAACCAGCCATGCCAACACTCTTGATGTCACACTTCTTGCCCCCCAGAACTGGGAGAAATAAACTTCTGCTGTTTAAGCCCCCTAGTCTGTGGCACTCTTCTTGCAGCCTCCCCAGAAAACTAGTTAGAAGCTCCGTCTTCGCCTGCAGACCCCACTCTCTCAAGACGACCCAGGAGAATCCTCCCAGTCCCCCAGCACAGGGCCCTGATCCCAGGAGAAACGAAACGATTACAGCGAGGCATCCACCCCGAGAGGGCAGCGCTCCCCAACAAGACAAGGGCGGCCTCTGGGGTAGTGCGCTGGGCCTGGGCCCCCACCCGGAGGAGCCAGCGCGAGTGGGGCTGTCCGGGACACTGGACTCAGCCTCTGGGGACTCAGGCGGGGCCGCGCCGGGGTGGAGTGGGGCGGGACGGGGTCAAGTAGCCTCGCCCCAGGCCGCACTCACTGATGGAGAAGCCGCTGGGCTCTTCCTGAGTGACTCTGCAGTGCTCCAGCAGCAGGGCTCCGACGGGCTAGGGGCAGACAGGGGCATGGGGGCGGGCACCGGGAACCTGCCCCCGCCCCGCCCCCGACTCCACACCCCGCCCTCCAACTGCGGCCGCCGCCGCACGCAGGATCTTTCGCTGTGGCTCCCCCCCCCCCCCGCCCCCCCCGCCGCCTTACCTCCGCCTCGTCCGTCCGGAAGTAGAAGAGGAAGTTGACCACCAGCTTCACCAGCCGCCGTTTCACCACTGCGGGAACAAGGCGGGTTCGCGCGGGTTCCGCGGCTGCCCACCCCCGCCCCCCGGCCGCCCTGCCGCCCGGCCGCTCCGGCGCCCCGGGCCGCTCACCGCTGCCCTTCTTGGGGCCCCGCATGCCCAGCTCAGCTGCCTTCTCGGCCGGCTGCCGGGACAGCGCCTGCAGCTCCTTCTCGTTATAGCGCATGGCGCCGCTGGGACCGAGAACGCGGAGCGCTGGGCCGCGCCCTCCGGGCCGCCGTCCCCACTCGCGCCGCTGCCGGCGCCAAAAGAGTCCCACGGCGTCGTCCCGGAAGCGCGGCCGGAGCTACCACGCCTGCGCGCTCCCGGGCCGCTCAGCCTGTCCTACACCGGCGAGTGGCAGAAGCGTCCCGGGGGCCGCTGGGGCCGAGTAGAGCCCTCGTGGGGCGCACAGAGCAGTAGGCAAGATACACGGTTGTCATGTAACCAGGCAACAAGGTGGACCCGGAATGGAAACAATAAAGCACCCCCACGACCTATAGCGCCCAGTACTCAAGGGAACAGACGGACGGGAGTGGGAGACGAGAAGCAACTCGCTATCCCGCGAGAACTAGCTCCGCGCGAGTTTGGCCGACCGAAAGGACATTGAGAGCCGGTGCGCACGCGCGCTTCGGCTTCCGGCCTGCACTCCCTGCTGCCCGGAGTCCTCCAGCCTCCGAAGCGTCTAGCCCGCGCCGCTGGGCGGGCCGGGCATGCGCACACGGAAGACCCCCCCCCGCCCCGTTTGCCCTCGGAAGTGCTTCCTTAGCCCGCGGCGCGCATGTGCAGAACGAGTCGGCGCGGCGGCAGAGGTGGTGGCCGAACAGGCGACGGCAGTGCGGCCGCGGGTGAGAGTTAAGAGCCGCGCGGGGCTAGAGCGGCGACCGCGAGGGGCTCCCTGGACGGGAGTGGGCGAGGGGAGCCTCGGCAGGGGCGCGGGCTGGGG